TCACTCCTTCGTTGGGAGTTCCGGTCCTCTCCTTAGAGCAGGACATTATAACACCCAGTGGGGAGCAAGGCTCTGGACATCACACGCACACTGTTAAAGCTAATGCCCCAGTGGCATTACATCTTAGCTCGGTGCTAAGTCGGGAATCCTTTATAAATTTCCCTTGCTGCTCTTTAGGCAGCTCAAACGTTTATATTCACAACTTCCCCTTAGGCGCCCAGCAGCCCCTGACTTGGCGACCCTTCCTTCCCCGCGCCTTACCCCGAGAGTACCCCGAGTCTGGGGCAGGTGCAGGAGCTCCGAGACACGTCCGCTCTCCTCGTCTGGGGTCCAGGGTGCACCTGGGCGAGCGACATCGAGTTAACACTACGATTTTGCCCTGTCTACAGTAGGATTTTACAACGTGTTAGTTAACACGTGATCGCTGTCCCGTTGTCTCACTTTTTCCTAGCGTAGCCATGGCCCCAGCATTCTCCAGCCCAGGCAATGTGCCTAAAGGACTGGGGACACCCGGACTCTGCACATCTTCTCATTTGTATTCATCACAACTGCGCTGTCCCCCAGAGTGCGATTAACTGCCCGATTTCGCCTTACATTTCACTCCCGTGTCTTCTGTGAGCCCGCAAGAGATGGGCGCCGCACGCTGCTCCGCGACAGGCAGGAAGAAAAGTACAAGTGTCGCTCTACCTCTGACCTTATTGCTGCCTAGTTCTGCCTCTCCCCTGCTTAGTCCTTGAGGAAGGGCAATAATCACATTGAAACTCACTCGGGAGAACTCGGAATGCAAACGCAGGAGAGCACTTGCTCCCCACACACATGGCCAGACACGCTGAGCGAACCTGTTGCCCGCTGTACTCTGCATAACTTTTCTCAGCTCTCGCCAGTCATCGGCCGCAAATGGATCCGATTAAAAACAAATGAATCCTCTTTGCTGTTCTCCTTGAGCCCGTGTGGCTAACAGAAGGCGGCGGGGCTGGCAACAGGAAGGTGACTGCGGATTTATCATTTGTATGGCAAGTCTTACACTGGACTTCTGCTAAACTTGTGGGCTCAGCCCCCGCCTGTCACCAGGGCGTCAGTCCTGTCTGGGGTGAGTTAGATGCGGTGGTATTTTATTTCAGCCCTAAAGGGCATGGCTATTGGAACACATTCGTTTTGATCACTTCCCTGATTGCTAAGCGAGGCTGGGGACAGAACCACTGGCGGCATTTGTTGATTACACACCGTCCTCCCTTGACAATGAAAGGAAACGAAACGTTCCCTGGTTACATTAAAGGGCAGCAGGGCCGTTTCTCCTTGCCAATTATTCGCCACTGTAAATTGTTGTGCCATTGTGGTGTCTCGGCGGAGACAGGCTGAACTTTCTCGAGTGTCTAAATAACCTAAAAAAGAACAGGAGTACTTGTGGCACCTTAGAGACTAACAAATTTATTAGAGCATAAGCTTTTGTGGGCTACATCCCACTTCATCGGATGCATAGAATGGAACAGACAAGACTGACTCCCTGGAGACAGGGGAGGGCTGAGCCCACAAGTTTAGCAGAAGTCCAGTGTAAGACTTGCCATACAAATGATAAATTCGCAGTCACCTTCCTGTTCCCAGCCAGGCCGCCTTCTGTTAGCCACACGGGCTCAAGGAGAACAGCAAAGGGGATGCATTTGTTTTTAATCGGATCCATTTGTGGCCGATGATTGGCGAGAGCTGAGAAGAGTTATGCAGAGTGCAGCAGGCAACATGTTCCAATCTATGCATCCGAAGAAGTGGGATGTAGCCCACGAAAGCTTATGCTCAAATAAATGTGTTAGTCTCTAAGGTGCCACAAGTACTCCTCGGTTTTTTTGCAGCTACAGACTAACACAACTGCTACTCTGAAACCTAAATAACCTAAAGTTAAGTGCCCCTTAACAAACTATAAAGCGGGCGGTGGAAAGGCAGAGGGCGGCTACAGGTGCCGCGTAAAGTGCAGCGGCTCGGCCACCAGGCTGGACCTGCTCAAGAAGTTTCTCCTTTCCCCAGAGCGTTTCTCGAACACACACATCGGGCCCGAACGAGACACTTCGATTTCTGCCCCGAAGGAATTATGGCCCCTTTAAAAGGGATCGTTTCTGCAAAGCTAAATCGGCGTGAGCTGGATACTCTAACTGGAACCATGTGGATTCCTACCCTGTTGCCCCTCACCCCGGTCTGCGGGCGACTTAGCAAGGAGAGCGCCAGGCGCTGCCCAGACCTCTACGCTAGCAGAGCGGTGTTCTCGTCCCCGTTCCGCAGCGCATCTTGCGCGCCTCTGTGCGCGGTCCCCGCGGCTGGCAGCCGCTCTGGGGCTTACTTATTCATCCGGGAGGTGGAGACAACTCCATCGGGGACTGATGAGCTACGGCCCCAGCCCCGGGCACGCCAGGACCCTGTGGCCACCGCTGGTGCCAAGGGAAAGGACCCACGCGGTAGCTGCGTAGGGTGGCCGGGAAGCTGCGCTTGTCTTACCCGGTCAGTGGCGAGGACCTGGCGGTAACGCTCTTCTTCCGGAGGCAGGGCAGGGAACTGTTGCATCGAGAACATGCTCTGGCTGCTGCTCAGTCTTCTCCACCTTCCTCCCCCCACTTCTTTCTACATCTCACACGGACGTGCCACGACTGCCTGCCTCCCTCCCAAACACACAGGCTGGGCTCGGGGGGAGGGGGCTCCGCATTTTGTCTGCTCCCCCCGCTACCCTCTCCCACCCAATAATAATAAACCTCAACGAGCAAGCCACCATACCCCCCCCCCCCCGCCCCTTTTGTTCTCAATGACTCGATTCCCTGGAACAGGCTGGCTGGGAGCCAACTTGCTTGTTAATTTCTCCCCGAACTCATCGTACTAGGAGAGTCAGGCTGATCAGCCCCAGTTTTTCCCCCCATGGCAGATGACGTGCAAAGGGATCGAGGCTATGCCCGGCCACCACTAACAACTCGCTAGAGCCAAGGGACAGGGGCTGCTCACGGAGCTCACCCCACTTGTGTAGGTGAATTTCTGTCACTCTGACCTATCTTCGCCTTATCCGGGCTACAGGGGCTCTCCTGGAGAAAAATGACAGCACTGCCTTGCCCCGACACCTTTTGGTTCCCTGCCAATAAAACGATCCTATCGCCCTACCAGGTTCTGCTGGCTGGCAGGTAGCCTTTCCGGGGGAGCCAGGTGCATAGTTCGCCCAGATGAGCTAGCCTCCATTCTTTCCCCGACTGATCCCAAAGGAAAGGGAAGGTTGGAATCTATACCTCCCCCAGCCCAGGTTCTGCTATTCATTTTATTCAGGCAAACTTGAATAGGAAGTCACTACTGGCTACAAAGACTATTTGGCTTCTGGGTTTTTTATTTTGTTTTAATGGTCCTATCGCTGACAGTTTGATGCAGCAGGGATTACAAAGATCTTCTCACAGCAAGGGCTTTTACTCCTCTGTGCAAGGAAACATGAAAGGTGGGGAGATAATTGATGACCATATTTGATTAGACAGAATGCTGTGATCTATTTCTACAGACTCGTGGACAAAGTACACGCTGCCGCTCTGCAGCCTCCTGAGGGACTAGAGAAGAATGGGAATTAAGCCCCAGGGAAGTGCTGATTAAGACACCCTTTACATTCCCCGCCGAAGATGGCAGGTGGTGAAGTTATCTGTGCACATTTAAAATTAATGATTGTCCTCTGAGCCCACGGACTACGTGAAACTGAGGCTAGAATTCTACAGAGAAATGGGTTGTTAGACGTTGCCAGTATAAAAGGAGAGCACAACCTGTTCAGGGGGAGAAGAAAGGTTGGAGGAATTGACTCCTGGGAGCTTGAAACAGGCCATGAGCTTCCTTCACCCCTACCGAGACCTCCAATCCCAACGCGTTCAGGTACCTGAGCAAGATCCAACTCTTCACTTTATTTCCTAGGGGGTAAAAGTGCCAGGTTGCTGAAGGACTCAAAATCCCGGAAGGGGGGAGAGCAAATCACAGGTGGATGATTTCATATACAGCCTTCCAGCCCATAGTCTAAACTCCAAAGCCTAAGAAACATGTAAAAAAAAATTAAAGATGGTGTGACAACTACCGTACCCGGGTCCTCAAAAACTGAAAGTGAGAGTCTCCACAGCTTGAGCTACAGAGCCAGCCGCTCAAGGTCAGAACTGTGCCAGACTAGCATCGCTGTGGATTAGGCACAGGGAGGAGCAACCTCACACACATTGACCAGTGATTACAATCCATATAAAATTTGCACATATTTTGATTGGTTCCCCTTCCCCTTGTACATTGCTTGTTGGCTCAGGCCCCAATCCTACATCTGAATCCATATAGCAGGACTCTTATAGCCAGATGAGGTCTCACTGAAGTCAGTGGGTCTCTGCAGAGTTCCCAGGGTCCACATGCATGCATCTGATTGCAAACCTGCAGCCAAAGATCAAGGCAGAGAGTTCCTGTGTGTGCGGACAATGCCTACTACATTGTGGATGCTACCAGAATATAAAAGGATTCAGTACTTTTCCAGGAGCTGCAGTCACCTTTCACTTAGAAAGGACACCATCTTGTGTAAGTAGATTATGAGACTATGCTTTAGCTCTACTTGCTAAAATAAATAAGCTTCTACTATTGTACTTTAAGAATGCTTTTTAGCACTAGTGCAATGTCACTGTAGTAAGCAGAAAAAAGTGCAAATCTAGCTTCATCAACAACAAAACCCTAGACTTGAACCCTACTTCCATCACTGATCTCCACCCTGGCTCTCATTCCAGACACTACCCCATATTTTAGTGTAAAAGAGAGACCACCAAGGTACATAAACAACAAGAACATCTCACGATCTTACGCCAACCCATACTCTTCCCCAGTCCTCCAGTGTCATCATCCCTTGCTTTATGTCATGCCTAATTTACCTGCAAGCTCCTAGAGCAGGGACTGGCCATTTTGTTTCTCAAATGCCATGCACACCAAACTGTACATAAATGCTTCCAATCCAAATGCTATGGTCCAATCTTGCATTTTTCACTTGGACAAAATCCCCCTGGTAGAAAATTAAGAGTAGAACAAGTTGCTGCTACTCCACAAATAATAGCAAGTGTGTGGAATAAGAAACAGAGAAGCAAATGGTTTAAAAGACTTTGTGACTGCTGAATGTTTAACTGTAGACAGACACAGAACTAGCCTTTACATAGTGATTTTCTTGTTAATATTTTGTAAAGTATTTTAACTATTCCTCTCAAACGCCTAAGTTACAAAGAGGGTGAATAGTGTCATTAACCCCATTTTACAGATAGGGAAACTGAAGCCCAGAGGTGAAGTGTATTGCTCAAAGCCCACAGCAAGTCAGTAGTGGAGCCAGAATTAGAATTCAGGATCTCCTGACACCTCACCCCACTCACATTCTTTGCTGCCACTCCAGTTGCTGAAGCCTCTGTGAAAACTATCCACATTTTTATTGTAAGGTATGGGAGCCAGGGCAAACGTAAACTAAGTTCTGTTTCTAGCAGCTATTTTATTGAGACCACTACATTCCAGAAATTAATATATTAACAAAGTGTTCTGTTATTTTAACACTCCCCCCTCCCCATTGCTTTGCTTATTAGTGGTTTCCAGATCAGGAACATAACTTGCCATTTAGTCTGTCTTCACACTAACTAGATACCCACACACAGTTGCTGATATTAGTATATCAGTGGAAAGCAGAACGTGTTTCCCAGTGGAATGAGCTGTATACATTTATATTACAGTGCACAATTTTTTAAACAGTATTACTGAGGATAGTGAAACAAGGGAATACATATTGTCTCCTAGCAAATTTGATTTACTAATGTAGACAATTTCTCTTTGATTTTATTGTTCTCAACCATATGCCTTGGCTTCCACTGCCTGGCAGAGTGCAGAATCCTTTTGTTAAATTTATATTTATTGAAAGCAACTGGTTAATTTGGTTAGAGCCAAAATATAAAGACTAAAGTATATTCTTGTATTTCAATGCAGCTAGAGGGAGAAATGTCTAAAGCAGCCTGTGCATGAAAAGTAATTTAAGAGGAAGAGATTGGCATAAACAATAGTTAAGAGGAGACGGGGAGGGGGGGAGAATATCTCAGTGGTTTGAGCATTGGCCTGCTAAACCCAGGGTTGTGAGTTCAATCCTTGAGGGGGCCACTTAGGGTACGTCTATACTTACCTCCAGGTTTGGCGGTAAGCAATTGATCTTCTGGGATCGATTTATTGTGTCTTGTCTAGACGCAATAAATCGATCCCGGAAGTGCTCGCCGTCGACACCGGTACTCC